CTATCTATCTATCTATCTATCTATCTATCTATCTATCTATCTATCTATCTATCTATCTATCTATCTATCTATCTATCTATCTATCTATCTATCTATTGCTTGAGACATACATGAAACATACTTTTCCATCCTAATACATTTTTCTTGACTAACTCATCATAACTCATCAGAGCAAAATCGTATTGTATTGACTGACGGCTGAGTTGCCTAGGGTGAAGACGTGGATATACCAATAACCACGTCTTGGTATTTGACAGATAGGATTGGCTCCAGCACCCCTGCAACACTCAGTTGGATAACCTGCTACGAAAATGAACGGATTTAATAGTTATATGTTTATTAGTTGTGTTTAGACTTGAGTTTTTGTGGCTTTGGAGTGTAGTTTTCAGAGTTTACGTGATTGTATGTTAAGATTTAGCTAGCAATGGGCTACCGTCACCGAAACTCCATGAGGTGTACAGGGAAATCAGAACCAATCTACTTGTTTGTTCCAGAAGGTCAAGCAACTGAATTCAGGAAACAGAGGAAAAGACATGCAGATTGAGACAGTGTTCAGTGTAAGGAATAGTGCATTTATAGATACAGATCCATAGTACTTGATTGCTTTCCTTATCAGTTTCAGTTTTAGAATTTTAAAGACTTGGATGGTAGGAAGTGACATTCAGAGAATGAATATTCCTGCACACCTATATGCTCCACATCATTTGACATTTATGCAATACGACAATGTAACACATTTTTACTCATAGACAACATATATGTTTGTTAAACATTAAGCACATTGTGCCTCATTTATTCCTGTTATATATCTTGTTTTATTGGCTTTACTGACTTTTTTATTGCATTATTAGCAGAGCAGCTGTTACTAATAAAACTGACAAAGACGCCTTTCAACTCAGTGCGCCAGAACCAACGACGCCTGAACTCTGGAATCAAAGAAGGTAAATGGTATTCAACAATTATTAAACGTATTACCTGTGCTGTGCTTTTACTCCTCTGATGTGTCAAAATATCTTCTGGGAAAAGCTTTCAGTAGATCATGTTTGAAGTGAAGTCATTTTTATTCATAAAGTCCAATATCCCGGATCACAGCCCTTTACACTCTCTGTCGTCAGATGCCAGACTGGGTTAAGGAAGACTCATCCACCAAAATTCAAACAAACCTACCGTATGTTTTGGCTAACAAGAATCAAATAATGTGTTCTGCTGCACCTGTTGCCACTGGACTAATTCAGATGAATAACGTGATTGATACATGGATGATCAATAATCGACTGGTCACCCTTGCTAGCTCTTCTCAATTTCAGTAAAAACACAGTCACCTTTTCATAAGCTGAAGTGAAGTGAAGACGAGAGTAGATCATTAATTCCTAAATTGAGGCAACCCTCTTAGACTACTGAGACGGAGCTTTTTGTCAGTGAGCCGGTCCAGCTCAGGGGTCCCTTTGTTCCAGCTGCCACAGCAGATTTGGGCGTCTGTACGGAGGCCTGTCAGAAACAGGCTTATCTCTTGGGGGCCTCCCAGCACAAAGACCCATTTAGATGCTCAGAGAAAGTGAAATCTTCATTATATACCCCTTAAAAGAAAAACACACCCCTGCTCTTTAGGAAAATTAATTGGAGACAAGTATTTTATTCGGGTGAAATAAGAGCTCCAAAACAAAGTATAAGGCTGAGCTTGTACAGTGAGCCCTTTTATTATGTTTGATATGTAGTAGTGAGTAGGATAACGTCAACGTTTCAGGCAACTTTGCACTGAGAATTGGCGATTACATTAGTCACAAACATTGCCACAGAGCTATGAAGGACGGCTAGCGTCATCACCCTCCTACTTAAACACTTCCCTCTGTTTTCATTTTTTTCTTTTAATCCTCAAAGTTACACAAGCCAACCAAAACAATATGTGAACTACAGAAAGCACAATATCAACACTCTCCCATCTATATCTATCTCTCTATCATTTATCCACCTATCCGTCAATCCACCTATCCATCCATCTGCTGGCCTTTCCCAGCCATGCCTGTAGTGAGAGTGTCAGTATATCTGCCATGGCGTCCCGCTGATGTGTATTGTGATGGGGCTGAATACTCCAGCAACCAATATGGCCCGCACCAATACTGGATTAGCCACAGTGGATTAGCTCGCTGCCCTCCTGCTGCTTATTCAAATATTGTTTCACGTATTGTCATCATTGGGGCTGAGCTCTGGCCCAGTAGCCTGCAAGCTACAGAATATTTTCAAAGAAACCCAAAAAAAATGTCTTTGCTTCCATTTCCCTACAAAAGCGTCTGATTTCAGCGAATGTGGGATCTGGACCACTGAGGGTCGGGGGAAATTGTTGAGGGTTCGGAGAGCATCCGCAGCCCTAGAACAGGCAGGGGGAAAAAGGGATGGAAAGATGATGGAAAAGCAAAAACCTAACTAGGCCAAAAACAGGCATGAAAGCGTGCCTTGATCTTTGATACATGGTGTTCTTCTTTTTTTTCTCCTCTCTCCCTTTCTTTCACCCTCACACATACACTTGGGAGTCAAGGCAATTGATGTGCTGCCTTTGATGGCAAAGAGAGGCCTATATTAACGGCCAAAAAGACCATGATGAAAGGGCTGAGGAAAAAGAAGCAAAATGGGTAGAAAATGTGTTATTAGAAAGAATGGCAACTCATGATGAATACTTGGGATGAAGTGATGGTAACCAGACATCGGGGTCTTGAGGGTTTGATGATTTAACGGCAGCGGAGGAAAGGCTAAGGTAGACGGAAGGCTTACCGTGCTAGCCCCGCGGTAGTGATGGCTGAGGTTGGCTTGGTGGTTCCAGTGTGTCATGCTGATGGTCGTCCTGTTAGAATAAGGGAGGTGAATACACCTGCTGCATTGCCCGAGTTCATTGCAGTGATTCCGAGGTCTGGACGCCAGTGGACGTCCCATTGCAGAAGCAGTCGCCATCTTTGTCCCGTTGTTGTCTTGGATATGCTCTCCTGCGTCTTCATCCCTCCCTCTTTCCTTTGATCATGCCTCCCTCCCTTGCTGTCTGCCGTATGACATCATCACGCAGCGGTATCGACAAGCATCAAAGAACCTCTGGGCAGGACGGGGTGTAAATATGGAGCATAAAGAGTGCTGTAACCCCCCCTGCTCCTAGCATCCACTCCTCTTCTCTCACTGCAGATGGGTGGTTTATTAGGCCGATACAAAACTATAAGCACACAAGCACACACCCACACCACCCATTTCTCAGACGGGTGTATCCCAAGGCCCCCTGCTGTGCTTGCAGCGTTTGATGATGCGTCTAGCTTAATTCGATCCCAAAGCTCGCTCCTTTTCTAAGACGTTCATTTCGCCCTTCTTATATGTTTTTGCAAGCTGCTGCAACAAAACACAAATGTGTTCTTGGTCAACTTTGTGACTAAATGACAACACTACTCTTCGCGTAGCCACCCCTCCTTCTTCACACTTTGACTCTCATCCCCTGCTCTTTCTCTCTTACCTCTTACAGCTGGTCTGTACCATTTCCAATCCTGTTAAAGTTCTATGTCCTCTCAAGGAGACCTTCTGTCTGTCTGTCATCGGCCCCAAAATCACTTATACATGTTTCACTGTCACACTCTCAATCCTCTGTGGCAGCTGGTATCAAACCCAATAAGATCATCCCTTAAAAAAACACACAGAATTAGCAACTGAATGGATTAGATTTGTCCAACATCAATGTACCTGCAAAGAGAATGAAGCAAACCAACGTTTTACTACAGTCAACATATATTTAAAATACAGTGTAATGGATTTACAATTAAACTGCTCTACAAAGGCCGGCAGTAGTAATGTAATTATAGAGATAATAAAGTCAAGAAGAAACAATTAATAGTTTAAAGTTTTCAAAGTGGAAAAGACAGAAAGGCTGCAGTACAATTACTTTATGCGTTCTTAAAAGCTGATTATTTTACCCTAATTTAACCAAACTGAATCACATAAACTACTCTAGTTACTGCTAAAATGGCTTAGCTAGCTTTTAGCCAAGCTAGTTATACAGTTTTTCTACATCAAGACTAAAAATTAATGTTTTGCACTTTTTTCAGTCATAAAGTCAACACTTCAGCAGAATAGCATTTTTTAACTGTTGAATCTTGTGTCAAAAAGTCCTGTCCAAGCAAAGTTTTAAGCGAATACAGTAAAGCTATGTAGCAAGACAGTTTTAGCTTAATACTAACATTTTTGTCAATCCAAATAATTTCATAATAAAAGCTTTTCAGTAAAATAAATGTGTCCCCCTATCAAAAATGTTATTAACAGTCTATCTTTGACTGAACTGCTGTATTATTATACCTAATAATTTATATTGGCTGCTGTCTCTGCTGTTCACTAGCTAAACGGGCCTACTTCAGGCCAATGCAGTTGAAGTAACCTGGGCTCACGCTGTATAATATCACTGAAACAACATGCTGTATCACTGCGGTCTTTCTGATGCAGTTTTTCTGATGGAAAAACGAAAACTGACCATCAAAGCAATGAACAGTCCCACAGTCCCATTCAGTTACCGAGGTATTTTCTGTAATAGACAAAGAGCCGAATCAAACATGACTCATCAGTGTAACAGAACCTGGATCAGCTTTCTCTCAAGCACTGATCATTGAGTGGAAAAAAGAATGAAAAGTAATTGGAGCTTTTTAGAGTCACACAGCTACCGCCTCCTCGCCTGTCTGCTGTTCTTCTACTTTCCCCCAGTTTCCATTCACATCTTTACTCTGCCCTGCCGCCTCTCTGCCCCCACTCTCTACACCCCCCCCCCCCCCAAACTAATTGTCAAGGTTCTTGTTAGCGTTATGCTTAAATGCACCTCTCTGCAGCGAAAGCCACCCAGTGATATGGAAAGTATCCTTAGCAAAGGATTATACACCACTGATTGGAAGTACCAAACAAACGTGAGTGTTTGGAGAGGAATAACTGCTACGAAATCTGTTGTTCACTCAGGCTTTCGCCTTTTTCCATCCTGTACTTCCCTCTCTTCAACTCAACAAACTGTTTCTCAGCTTTCCAACTCTAAGACCAGGCATTCTCTTTCTCCTTCCCAAACCAATCGCATAAACAGCCATTTCCATTCAAACAGCAACTTCATTCCAGGTATTAGGAGAACTAATTCCACCACATTATTAGACTCCTTAAAAATGCCCACTTATTTCCTCCACAAATTACTTCCCGTAATCCCAATCAACTAAATCCATTTGCTGATTGCTGCCCTTCTGCAGGGGACAAACAGCAATGTCTGGAATCAATATGAGGACTCTTAGCCTACCTGTAAGATTGTTGGGGTAACAGCTAATGGCAGCAAGCTGACGGGCTGTAGAGGGTTGATAAGCATTTCTCATTACTGAACCCCCATTCACATAAGCGCCTGCCACACTTGTATAATACACATTCACACACACACAATCTGTGGGAGAAATACATGTCCTCCAAAACATATTGCCATTGTTGTAACAATAGATATAAATAAATAAATAAATCATCGGTGTGTGCATCTATTAACTATGTGTGACAAAAGAGAAGGCATCTGGAAATGCTATAAACTGGCACATAGCTAGAGGGTATGGATAAAATAGCAGAAAAGCTTCAACTATACAAAAACATACCAGCTTGGCGAGGCTTGTAATTGCTTATTGTCACCATCGCATAAGTTCGTCCAACTCTGTGGTCATTTTTGATTTAATTTTTTTGGCTCTAATTTGTTATGAAGTAAATACCACACTCAGCGTCTTTCAGTCAGTTTTAGTCAGCTCAGTGCATTCCCCTCCACTTTTAATAGATGTGCTTGAAAATTATGCAAAGAACAACAAAAAACAACAAGATAAATATTCAGTATGTATTTTATGTAATGCTAGCAGAATACCCGGATTTTATTCTTACTTTGGGGTTACTTCACAGCAGAATATTTGACTTGTCACAGTAAAGCACTGACATTTTCATTAATGTGACATAGCACAAGTCAAATGTGTTTATACAGGGGTTATTAGTGTTGTTTAACTGGAATTAAACAGTTCGAGTAGTGGTTTCCATCACAGAAGATGAGACCACGCGAGGTAACTCTGTAGGACGGAAAAATGATTAACGGGACAAATATAGCTTTTCTTTAGGTTGCCTTATTTGTTGTGTGATGCTGGATTGTTTCACCTTGAATTTCTGATCTAGTTCTTTTTGAGGAGAAAATCTTTGGTCAGCATCCACAATGATTGTTCAAAATATCTTTTGGTTAAATAGTGTCTTTTTTGCGGACTCAGTCGAATTTAATGCTTTTTGTACTTTTTTTGTACTTGGACATTTTATGTGTGGTTAATGGAAAGTGAATGAGAGTGCCCTTGTTCATTGCAGTTAGCAAACTTACCATATTAAGGCTTTGCCATACATAGAATACATGTCGGTCCAATGTATTTGTTGCTGTTCACCCAGTTTTAATGAATCAATCTCATGGAATCACGGTTAACTCTGTTAACTATTTCAAACTGTTAACATTAACCCTATAATGCCCATTGTATCATTTTTGATACATGAGTTTCTGAGACCTCTATATCATCAACATGATCAATACTTGGCATAATTTCAAAATGTTATGAACAAAACTCTTTTTTTTGTTTAAAATTAACATTGTTGTTAACAAAAAGTTGCCAAAAATGCCTAATGTATCAAATGTGATACAAAAAATATATAATAAATATGTAATAAAAATATATCATACACCACATGATACAGCAAAAAAAGTGGATTTTGTTATAAGGGTTAATAAAGATCTCAGTTTTTTGATTGCTTGGGTCTTACAGGGTTAACACTGAAGACAATCTTCAGGGCTCTAAATGCTTATTAGTGCAATTGATGCGCATTACGACCATAAAGCCAAGGATGATAATGTAGTCGTGATGCCAGTTGATGAAGAACCTCATAATGCTGATGTCCATGTAGTACTGTATGCCCACTCACACCCACACATGGACAAGCTAACCTTTTGTTTTCCACCGTGTCTTGTTCTAATAAAGCTTGTCATACTGTAATGATTGTACTCTTTCACTATTTAACGCTTTCATCACATTATTACACCATGTGTATATTTTTAGGAGCGGCGTTTTAAGCTTTTTTCTTAGTCATTTTCTTGCATATTTTTTTTGTCTGAGCTCTACTCACTGGTTTGCTGCAAGAAGAGATGATACTATCTGTATTATATTATAAATTCCTTAATCCTTTTTTGTAAAATCCAGAATTGAGTCCATTTCCTAGATCATTTTACATAATTCTGATTGTATCTACAACTCAGTCTCAGTCAGTCATCTATATGTGCACTGGAGGCTTCAACCTTTCATATTTTATTCAGCTTACATGTTAAAGCCAGGTTACAGGTGAGCAGAAGTTATATTGAAAAACTATTTCCTGATGTAGCCATAAAGGATCCTTAATAACCAGGAACTAAATGCTTTCTTACAAATTGTCACTTTCGACAGTGGTTTGCTTGCTTAATGTTACATTTTGGAACCAAATTTTCACACCTTTAATGGTTATTTCATCCACCTATAAGTGGACCTCGAGTCCTTGGTGTGCTCTTAAGCTCAACAATTTCAGGCTCTGAATGTTCATTCTGCAGAGAGAGAAAGCTGCAGTCGTGAGGGGATTGAGGCCATTGTTCAGTTAAAGTGAGACAAATGAGACCCCGGAGAGCACTACTTAGCCACTCATAAAGGTCAGATATGGAGCCACACCAATGGATGCTAATCCTGACCCTGGGGACTGTGTGCACATGCGCTTGTGGATGTAATTGTTTCACAGGCCTGTGACATTTAAACCTGAATGAGTGTACAATCCTGGGTGGCTGAACAGTGTGTACGTGCTTGTAAGTCCTTTGGCTGGAAACCAATGGGCTGCAGTGCCCACAGAGGTTTAATTAGACATTGCCTTGGGGGCAATTAAAACATCAGAGGCTATGTTT